AGTACAGAATCCACTCACCTGACAACAGCCAGGGCTGCTGGCAGGCGGCCCGGCTGAGTGGTAAAGGGCAGGTGGGCTCAGGTAACACTTGGAAGCGACTCGGCCTTTCTCAGCCTTGGTGCCCTCCTCAATAAAATGCAGATGCCAGTGGAAGATGCCCCATAAGTTTGCTGGGAGAATTAAGTCAAATGGAGTCTTGTGAAGCAGTCAGCACAGGGCTTGGCCCATGGCACGTGCTGAATTAATTTGAGATCTGCCTATTACTGTTAAAGGTCACTTTGAAATAAAACGAAAAAACTGGGATTCTCTGATTCTGTCATAAATGTCTATATCCTTTAGCTCAGGTGATGAAGCTATTTAAGTCAGGGCATTCTTTTTAGGAATAATTGTTTTCTATTTGTATTTATCTATTTTTGCAATAGGATCTTGCTCTGTTGCTGAGGCTGGGGTGCAGTGGTGCAATCACAGCTCACTGCAGCCTCCATCTCCTGGCTCAGGCGATCCTTCCACCTCAGCCTCCTGAGTAGCTGAGACCACAGCTGTGTGCTACCATACCTCTCTAATTTTTTTAAATTTTAGTAAAGACAAGGCTTCCCCACATTGCCTGGGCTGGTCCTGAACTCCTGAGCTCAAGCAATCCTCCAGCCTCATCTCCCAAAGTGTTGGGATCACACGCGTGAGCCACCATGCCCAGCCAGAGGTGTTGTTGATTACTCAGCACAGTACGCATGGCACTAAAAATTTCACAAATACGAGAGGCAGAAGCAGGAGGAAAGTCAGCAGTCTTGAACTCTGACGTTCACAGCCTAAAGGAGAACACAGCCCATGGCTGCACTAGAATTATAAGTAAGCAACATGTCTCACTGGGCCATCACCACTTTCCCGCAAGCTTCAGAAGAGTGACTTGTTCTCTGTCACTAGCTTTCTGAGATCTCCATGCTGTTCCGCATTTTGCATAGCCTGTGCTCTGCAGAGCAGAGCAACTGTGTAGACAAAACTGGAGTATGGGGACTAGCAGTGTGGCCCTGCAGGGAAAGGGTGGGCTACTGGTCCAGGATCCTGGGGAGAGCTTCCTCCGAACCCTGAACACTGGCGGACGCTCCAGTCGCACTTCCACCCTTACCCCCAAGCTGCTGGCTGGTTTTAAAATAGCTGGCACGCACCATGACCGGTTCCTGGGATTACGGTCAGGAGGTATGGGGTAGGGCTTAGACTCTATCCTGAACCCAGACTCAGTGGTCTGGGACTAGCTCTCGCTGTACAAGATCACACTTGCCGGGCACTGACCACTCCTAGCTGTTATCTACACCACTCAGCAAGAGCAGTTTTATCTGTTTGGTGCCTTCTGTAAACTTCTTGAAGGTAACAGCTGTGTCTTAAGCCTCTTCAGCATTCTGCTGTGTTGGGCAGATGGCACAGGTTCAATCAAAGCTTTTCAAATAAAAATTTCTGACAAAATGTTTCAAGATCTTTAGGTTCATCTTGAAAAAGCTGTAATGTACCCAGTACATGAGAACAAGAGGCCTGGGTCATGACTTTCAGGCACACATTCCTAGCGAAATGTCATCTATCTTGCTCAGCGCTCCCCAGCTTGGCACACACACAAAATGTGACAAAAATGTGAATTTAAAGGCTTTTCATGCACCACAAGAGCCAGGGCATGGCAAAGTGGGACCCTGTCTTCTGAGATCCCCCACCCAGCACACAGAGGCTGGCAGGCTGGCAATGACAGATCACAAGACCGGGTGACAGGGCAGCACATTAAATTTCTTAATGCTCCACATTAAATTTTCTAATCAAAATATTCATGAGATGCTACGATGACCTGATGTGGTCGGTTGAATGGTGGCTCCCAAAAGCTATGTCCATGTCCTGACCCCTGGAAACTGTGAATGAGTTTATTTGGAAAAAGGACCACTGTAGATATAATAAAGACCCTTAAGATGAAGAAGTCATCCTGGGTCACCCGGAGGACAAGTGTCTTTAGAAAAGACAGAAGAGGGGAAGGCCATGTGAAGCCACGGCAGGGACTGGCAGGCTGCAGCCACAAGCCAAGGATGGCCTGAGGCAAGCAGGGTCCTCCCATAGAGTTCTTCAGGGGAGCTTAGCCCTAATAATACATTGATTTGATTTTGAACTTCTGCCTTCCGAAATTAAGAAAGAATAAATTTCTGCTGGTTTTTTTTTTTTTTTTTTGAGACAGAGTTTTGCTTTTGTTGCCCAAGCTGGACTGCAATGGCATGATCTCGGCTCACCACAACCCCCGCCTCTCGGGTTCAAGCGATTTTCCTGCATTGGCCTCCTGAGTAACTGGGATTATAGTTACTCGGCCTCCCAAAGTGCTGAGATTACAGGCATGAATCACCACACCCGGCCAATTTCTGCTGTTTGAAGTCTGCAGTTAGTGGTGCTTTGCTGCTGCAGCCATGGGAAATACCAAATTGTACTTGGTCTTCCCATTTATACAGCAGGTTCTTTCTGTGTTTCTCACTACTCGCCTCTCCACCCATAGTTTCCTTCTAGTAAAAGGATCATCCATAAACATTTAGGAGGTTTAGAACTACATATTACAGTAAAATGGTACCATTTCCAGATGCCACTAAACTGGTGTTCCTGATTCGAAAGCTCTGTCCCTTTGCGCCTCACCAATCCGTATGATTAAACTAGTAGCCCCATCACATTCTGCGTCCTGCTTTTTTGTTGTTGCTGAAGATGTTTACCACATCAACATAAGAGCCCACCCATGGCATGTCACTATAAGTTATTAACCGAGGTCTGTGTTCAGGCTTCTGTCTGGCCTGGCTACAGATGGACACCCTTGCTCACGTTTACGTGCCTGCATGTCTGTCTGTGTGACAGTGCGGTCAGGGGTACATGCACTGTGGTCTCAACACGTGTCATCTGAGGAAGCCCCACCAATCTGCCTCCTCTGTTTTCCTCATCGCTGGCCCATGAAGCAGGAGTGTCTTGTAGACGCTTCTATCCTATCACATGGCGCAGTCTCTTTGACAAAGCCAGCGTTCTTCCAAACAAAGGCCTAGTCATGGCTTAGACTTCCATCAACAACCTGGAACCTTGACTGCTGCACTTCTGACCTTTCCTGAGCACCTCCCCATTTGACCCAATGTAAACAGCTCCAGGTCAATTACACTCCTTTGATCCTTGAGATGTTCTAAGAATGGCAGGTACTACAGCAGCCCCTCCTGATGGAGGCCGTGGTGGTTCCCCGCCTGCCTTCGTCACCCCGCTTCCATCAGTCACCTCCCTGCCTTCTTCACAATGCAGCTGAGTGAAAATATAAGTGGGTGTGTTAGAACATGAGTCAAACCGAGTCACTTCCTTGCTCTCAACTCCAGTGGCATCCTAGCTCTTATAGAGTAAAATCCAAAGCCCTTGACATGACCTACAAAGACACATGATTTGGACTGTGGCTGTCTGCAACCTGAAGTCTCACCAACACGCACTGCACTCCAGCCTGGAGCCCCTGAAGTTCCACAGATGATGAGGAAGGGACGAGGGCCAGGTGACCAGGGGCCCAGTGTCCTGGGGAGTTACAGAGGGTCTGGGTGGGGGGTGGCCATGGGACCTGGAGGGCACTTTCTGCTTCCAGCTGCTCCCATGAAGGCTCAGGCCACATGCATGCACTGTCCTTCTCCTTCCCAAGGCTCCGGCTGTACCAGTCAATTGTTGAGACACTGGCTCCACCCTTCTTCTCTAATACCAACCTGCTGGCTGTGAGGAGACTTTGGGGTTCAAGCAACTGACTGAGGCAACTGCCAGCTTCAAAGTTCCGGGAGCCTTTTTTTTTGGAGTGCCGTGACACGATCTCGGCCCATTGCAACCCCCACCTCCTGGGTTCAAGTGATTCTTCTGCCTCAGCCTCCTGAGTAGCTGGGATTACAGGCACATGCCACCATGCCCAGATAATTTTTGTGTTTTTAGTAGAGGCGGGGTTTCATCATGTTGGCCAGGCTGGTCTTGAACTCCTGACCTCAGGTGATCCAGCTGTCTCGGCCTCCCAAAGTGCTGGGATTATAGGCGTGAGCCACCATATACGGCCTAGGAGCCTCTTTTAGTGACTCTTCTACCCTATGTGCTCAGCAGTCCCACACAGGGTTTCAGTCTGAGTTGATCCTGGTTTCTGGCAATTGTTCCTCCCTTCCAAACCCTTACTCTCCAGCATCCCACCTTCGCCACCTGGCCACCCCATCTGCTCTCTGAGACACCTGTGGGCCCTGGCACTGCTATCCTCTCCTGAGGAGTGGCTGCTATCCTGACTCACATCATACCCTGCCCTATTTAGCTGGTGGGTCGTAAGCCAGTGGTTCTGGAGCTGGCTGATCATCTGAGCTCTCAGAGGTCAGCTTAAGGCCCCATCCCAGGTGATGACACCACAGGCCTCTTGGATGCTTGGACTGACCACTGGCTCCATCCTGAAAGACCTTCCCTTCTGTTTCCATGATCTTCTTCAGTTCTCCTTAGGAGCCTGTGACTACTCACTTGCTGGCCTTCTTGGGGGCCCCTCCTTTCTCCCACTCCTAACTACTGGAATGCCCCTCCTTGCTGACCTACACTGTGCTTCAGTGGGTAACCTCATGGGCTCTGATGGCTTCAGCCAACGCCTTTGGGCCAATGACTTGCAAGTCTACCGCAGTATTGCCTTCCAATACATAAGGCATGCAGATGTGAAAAAGTGGGATGGTAGGCGATGACTAGGGAGGTGGGGTACATCTTCTGATGTTCCAAAGGCCTCTGGCATATGCCTTCTAGCTCTATCTTTCCCCAATCTCCCTTCTGTACACCTGCCTACTTGTGATAGGTAGCTAGGGCCACAGTGCACTTCAGGGCCACTGAGAGCAGGCTGGCTAACATGGACCTTCTCATCAACACAGTATGGTAACAAACCAAACTAAGCCCTCTGTGTCTCTGAAAACACGAAACCCATCAACGTCCATCTGGCCTTTCTGTTTCAGGATCCCCACCCTTCATGTGGCACTTACCCCCAGGTACTCTGTGGTCAGAAGCTTCTCTCCTGAGAGTTCTCCAAGCTGGGGCTGGATCAGTTCATCTTTGTCCAGATCAGCTTCCATGATGTCATGGTCCTCCTGTTTCAGGAGACATGGGGTGAATGCCTGGACACCCTGCCACAAGCTCCCAAGGAGTGGCTCCCCAGAATGTGTAGCTGTCATGAAACAAAAAGGCCTCTGCCAACCACAGCGACTTGCAGGCTTAGATTCCAAGGGGGCTCAGGGGCAGCTTGCCTCTGCTCCCAACCTCTCCATGAAGACAAAAGGCACAAGGCCAACCAGCCTCTTCAGGAAGCTGGGCACCTAGGAAGCCTCCATCACTTAGGTGTGCGGAGTCTTTAAAGTCTCTCCTAATCACAGTTCTCAGAACTTCTCTCCCTGTGAGGTCAAGGCACCATATGAATAGCCAGTCCATCACTTTTTTTTTTTTTGAGAAGGAGTTTTACTCTTGTCACCCAGGCTGCAGTGCAGTGGCATGATCACAGGTCACTGTGCCGTTGATCTCCTGGGCTCAAGCGAATCTCCCCTTTCAGCCTCCCAAGTAGCTGGAACTATAGGTGTATGCCACCACACCTGGCTAATTTTCGTATTTTTTTGTACTGACAAGGTTTTGCCATGTTACCCAGGCTGCCTGGGTTTTCTTTTTGCTTCATATATGCCACATTTGGAGCCCACGAAATCGACAACCCAGAAATGTCAATGGTAAAGACAAAAAAAGTCCCCCAAAGCCTGCTTTTTAGCCAAAGGACCAGGACAGGGGAAGGACTGGCACGACAGGAAAATTGTAGGAAATAAACACGAGAGAGAGCACTGTAGCTCCACTCCCAGCTGTGTGTCAACAAGGGCCTCAGGAGCCCCAGCTGTACCCTCACCAGGCTGGGCCATGCACCCCAACACCCCTGCCAGTGATACCAGAGAAGGCCGAGTAGGCAGCAGTTTCATCCTTGCTGGGCGGTAAGGAGGCCCTCATCCCACAATGTAAGTGGAGACCAGGTGGGAGCTTGGACTTGTACCCACACTTGGCAGTGAACAGATGCCCCTCACACCCTTCTTGAAGTGGTGTCAGAATGAGTCATGTGGGGTGCAATGAATGACATGGCACTCTTGTTCCTTCCAGGTAGGGAGGCATTAGTGGACGCTTAGTGGGGGATGCAGGAACCCCCATCATCTGGTGTCAACCACGTCAAGCGCGGAACCTGGAATTCTACTCCTACCTGGCGGTAATTAGGAGTCCCTGGCAAGGAGTCCCAACAAGGCAAAAAAAAAAAAAAGGAAATAAAAGCCATGCAGATCATAAAAGGAAGAAAAACTATCCCATTTGCATACGACTGTCTGTGTAGAAATAAGGAATCTACAAAAAACCGCATACACACAGAAAAATCCTTCTAGAAGTAAAGAATTCAAAAAGTCCGCAGGATAGAAGAGAAACACATAAAATCAATTCATTTATACCAGCAAGGAACATACAAACATTGCAATAAAAAATACAATACCATTTACAATTGTTCAAAACAAGAAATGGGCATAAATCTAACAAAACATGTACATTTGTATGCTGAAAACTACAAAACTCTAACGAAAGAAATCTATTGGGTGTGGTGGCTCATGCCTGTAATCCCAGCACTTTGGGAGGCTGAGGTGGGGCAGATCACCTGAGTCAGGAGTTCAAGATCAGGGTAAGGGTTGGCATGGCCTGGGCAACATGGCAAAACTCCATCTCTACCAAAAATAGTTTTGCTCTTTTTGCCCAGGCGAAAGAGACCGTCTCAAATAAATAAATAAATAAATAAATAAATAAATAAATAAATAAATAAATAAAGGCAAAAATAAAATACAGTGGCAATAGCAATTGCTGGCGAGAATGCAGAGAAACTCGATCACTCATACATTGCTGATGGAAATGTAAAATAATACAGGCCCTTTGAAAAACATTTTGGCAATTTCCTAAAGAGCTGAACATGCAACAATATAGAACCAGCAATTATACTCCTGGGCATTTATCCTAGAGAAATAAAAATGCATGTCCAACATGGTGAAAACCCATCTATACTAAAAATACAAAATTAGCCAGTTGTGGTGGTGGGCGCCTGTAGTCCCAGCTACTTAGGAGGCTGAGGCAGGAGTATCACTTGAACCTGGGAGGCAGAGGTTGAAGTGAGCCAAGATCACGCCATTGCACTCTAGCCTGGGAAAAAGAGCAAAACTCTGTCTCAGAAGAAAAGTAAAAAGAAAAGATCCAGATAAATATAGAAGCACACCATGTTCATAAATCAGAAGACTCAACATAGTTCTCCCCATACTGACATACAGGTGTAATGAAATTTCTATCAAAATCCCAGCAAGATTTTTTTGTAGTCATAGGTAAGATTATTCTAAAATCTATATGGAAAGGGGCAAAGAAAATTGAACACACTAAGACAACTCTGAAAAAGAAGAACAATACGGGAAGAATCCATCTACATGATTTCAAGCTACAGTAATCCAGATTATATACCACTGGCAGGGAGGCAGACACATAGATCACTGGAATGGAACAGAGAACTCCAAAAGGGACCTATACAAAAATGTTTTGTGGATTTTAGACAAACGTACAAAAGAAATTCAATGAGAAAAGATAGCTCTTTCAACGAATGGTGCTGGAGAAACTGAACATTCATAGGAAAAAACTGAACCTCAATCTACTTCTCACATCTCATATAAAAATCTCATATAAAAATCAACTCAAAATGGATCATGGACTTAAATGTAAAACTAACACATTTTTAGAACAACCCATACAAGGAGAAAATTGATAAACTGAATTTCACCAAAAAATTTAAAAACTTGCTCAGTGCAAAGACCCTATTAAGAAGATGAAAAGGAAAGCTACAAACAGGGAGAGTATTTGGAAACCACATATTCAACAGAAGACTAGTATCTAAAATATATAAAGAACTCTCAAAACTGAACATTCAAAATACTCAATCTAATTAGAAAATGGGCAAAAGACATGAAGAAACATTTCACCAAAGAGGAAATACGGATGGCAATAAGCATATGAAAAGAAGTTAAATATCATTAGTCATTAGGGAAATACAAATTATAACCACAATGACATATCACTACATGCCTATCACAATGGCAAAAATAGGCTGGGTGCACTGGCTCATGTCTGCAATCCCAGCACTTTGGGAGGCCGAGGCAAGTGAATCACTAGAGCTCAGGAGTTTGAGACCAGCCTGGGCAACATGTTAAAACCCCGTCTCTACTAAAAATACAAAAATTAGTCAGGCATGGTGGCATGCACCTGTAATCCCAGCTACTTTGGAGGCTGAGGCATGAGATCCCAGCCCAGGAGGCAGAGGTTGCAGTGAGCTGAGAATGCGCCATTGCATTCCAGCCTGGGTGACAGAGCGAGACCTTTTCTCTTTAAGAAAAAAAAAAAAAAAAAAAAAAGGGAAAAACAGAAAACAGTGGCAATACCAATTGCTGGCAAGAATGCAGAGAAACTCGATCACTCACACATTGCTGGTGGAAACATAAAATAATACAGGCCCTCTGAAAACCATTTTGGCAATTTCCTAAAGAGCTGAACATGCAACAATATAGAACCAGCAATTACACTCCTGGGAATTTATCCCAGAGAAATAAAAACTTGCTGGCATTCAAAAATCTGTATATGAATGTTTCATGGCAGTTTCATTCATAGTAGCCCCAAACTGGAAACAATAGATATCCTTCAACAAGAGAACAGGTAAACAAATTGTGGTAATACACACCACAGACTACTACTCAGAAAGAAAAAGAACTACGGGTGTACATAACCTGGATGAATCTCCAGAGAGTGACGTTGGTGAAAAAAGCCAATCCTCAATGAATGCGTACTATATCATTCCATTTATATAACATTCTGCAAATGACAAAATTATAGAAATGGAGAACAAATTAGTGGTTGCCAGGGGTTAAAAGTGCAGGGGCGCAATCTCGGCTCACTGCAACCTCCGCCTCCTGGGTTCAAGCAATTCTCCTGCCTCAGCCTCCCGAGTAGCTGGGACTACAGGCGCATGCCACTACGCCCAGCTAATTTTTGTACATTTAGTAGAGACGGGGTTTCACCATGTTGGCCAGGATGGTCTCGATCTCTTGACATCGTGATTTGCCCACCTCGGCCTCCCAAAGTGCTAGGATTACAGGCTTGAGCCACCGCGCCCAGCCTCTGATCTTAAATTAAAAACAGAAGAGTTAAAAATACAATTAGCCTATGCGAGACATCACAAGGCTATGTATAATGGAATGCCAAGTGAGCGGCATGAACATTTACACAAAGGTAAACAAAGGGGAGGATGCCCTGCTCCTTCCTAGTCCCTGCCAAAGCTTCCTGCTGACCTTAGACTGTCCTTTGCAGGTTAAATTATAAAGAGGAATACAAATATTAACTCAGAAAGAAGGAAGCCGTTGGCTATGGCGGGGAAAAGGGAAAGGAGGGACCCTGGAGGAAGGTGGCAGCCAAGTGCTGGTATGGTCTGGGGTGCAGGGGGAGGGCAGGCCATCATCTCCTGGTGACAATGTTCCCTAACATCATCTAGCCAGTCCTTCCTTTGACTCCTGGCTCACCCAACAATCTAATGACTATAATTGGCTCCTTGAAACTTGCCAACAGGAAGAGAAAGCTCTATTCTGTAAACATGAGTACCCTATCTTCATTTCCAACTAATTTCTAGTCATTCAGGATGTTCTGGTCTTTGGTGAGTTTGATTTGCCGGAGTCAGTTTCCAAGGGCTACGAAGGCTCAACCTCCTGGGCCTGGGGTGTGGGGGTGTGGCTGGGAACTGGGCCCTGAAATGTGATGCTGCCTGACCTAGGGTGGCCCCCTGGTAGGGCTGTGCTGGGGGACTCTGCCCATCTCTACAGTGTCTCTTTAGCACATAGTCAGTGCCACCTGTCATCACTAGATGGTGTCACCTTGGGATGGGCTGTCCTAAGAAAAGGGAATTCGACTTACTCTAGGCTGTCCCCAAAGGCAGGCCTGAATCAGCAGAGTAAGAGGCAGGTCCCGGATCAGTCCAGAGCCTTTTCCAACAATCAGCACCTTCTTACTC